CCCCGAAGGGAAGCACCGACACAGACGGGCACAGAGACCGACGCTTTGCTGTCCCTCGGCGAGGTTGGCAAGCAAGCAGGAAAAGCTGAGAACCGGCTGTCCAGGGGGGGTCCCTTTAAGCACGAGCCTCAGATAGCCTCAGACAGCAGCCACACAAAGCAACTGCTGACCTGATGCCCTGCCAGAACCGGTTTCAGCTGCCCTTAAATGCCCCCCTGCGTCCAATCAGTGTGGACGCGCTAGTTCGAACTAGCAAAACGCTAGTTCGAACTAGTTTTTAGTTCTAGATGCGCTAGTTCGAACTAGCTTAGTTCGAATTAACTAATTCGAACTAAGTTAGTTCGAACTAGCGCTGTAGTGTAGACGTACCCTGGGAGAATGCTGGCCCAAGGCTTTGAAGGTACACGTGTAAAACAGGGATCGGAGATATGTTCTTCCACAGACAGATATCGATTCTGCTCACCACCACTAAAAGGATCCAATAAGCTATCCACAATAATACAAAATGACTCAATTTCCCAACCTTCTAAACAAGGGATGAGGATGGCAGCAATGTTGGTGGGATTCCTGTACAGCTGTAAGATGTCATAGGAGACGAGGAGAAACTGTTGTTTGGTTCTGCATGCATTACAAAAATGGAGATCCTCAAAGCAAAGGACCTCTCAAAACACACGGCTTGGGGCAGACTACCTCTATAGAGCATACTTAGTCACCATCTTGGCCAAGCATGTTTGTTACTTGAAGCAAAATCTGCTATCAACAACAACACATGTTCTCAAGATCCTCAAAAATCGAATGGATAGTATCCTACCCACCTGTTAGCTGTCTCTCTCCACCACCTTCAGCTTGTATATAGTTGAGTTCAGGATGCACTAGGAGCCCAGGATTGTATCCTTTTTTACAGGCATCTGTCATTCGTGCTTCCAGAGTTTCAAACACTTTCTTTTTTGTGACATGAAGTATCCCTAGGTTTGGAAACCTACACAATAGGAGTGGAGAAATATTTTCTTAGTTCATCATGCAGAAGCTGCCCACACTCTCTCCCTGTTACCATCATTACTCGGGGTTGATCCAAAGTCCACTGAAGTCAATAGGAAACATACCAAAGGATTATTTCAGAGAAAACAACTTTTAAATTCAAATTAGTACCTTGGACTTTAACATCAAAAAGTTTTAGCATTCAAAAGCAGTCCCTTTCTACTTTTCATACCTCTATATGTTCACCAAGAAAGACATTCAGGAGCGCATGAGAGAAAAACTTACAACTAACAGAAGCTTCAGGGGGTAGCCGAGTTAGTCTGATATAGGAAAAAAACCAACAAATAGTCTGGTAGCACTTTATAGACTAAAACCATCTACATGTTTTGTTAGTCTATAAACTGCTACCAGACCATTTGTTGTTTTTTTACAACTAACAGACACCTTGAAACCTGATTCACATCTGAAATCAGACATAAGCCTGAGTATCTCTTTTAAACCATGACCAGAATGTTATTCTAGTATAATCTTTGTCGGTTAAACAGTTTTAGTTATTTAATTGTTCTTATGTTTATATTTGTATTAATTTCCATTATACTAACTTCTATTTTCTTAATTTTTTTCATCTGTGATATATTCTTATAAGATATGGTTGGCAAATATCCATGAAAATGGAACACTGATGAAAACTGAAACAAAAGGTCAAGAAAAATTTCTACCATCCCCATTTTTTGAGCAGTTCTAAATATATCTTTGAATAAACTCATAGTACAAATCTACATTGCATATGGCAGGGACATGTTTTCAGTTCTCCAAAATCACATTAAAATTATTGCTTAAATTTCTTTATTTTTTTCCAGATTTTAATCATTCCAGAATATACCCTCTAACTACGACACAACAGTGTTTTCTAACCCGAGATATACCAAGACCATATTTATTTTTCCATGTTAACGTGTGAGCAAAGTACTGAGCAGAAAGTGAAGAACGAGTGCTCCATTTAATAGTTTACCCCTACAATTTTTGTTTCACCAGTTACAGTTTTTATACTCAATTCTTTGCCAACTAGCTTTGACAGATATATCAGTATACTCACCCTACCACCATATCCTTAGGTCCTGCATTAACTGTGCATACTCCTTCCTCACAATATTTACCCACCAAACTGTGGGCATGCAGGTGGACAGATTTTCCATAAGTGACTAACTGGACAATTACTTTAGCTGGCCCAACATAATTGAAGATCTGTAAACAAACGCAAGAAATATTAAAAAAAAATCAAATCATTATCATAAAGGCATTTTCTGTCACTTTAATATCTGAGCACAAACAAATCTGAATACTGCATGTAAGTTTCCATTTGTTTCTTTATAAACAAGAGAAAATGATTGTGCCAGGTCACCGAATAGTGGAGTCTTATCAATTCCATTCACTAACTGATTTTTTTTCCAAATTAAATACAACAAAAATAAATTAAACTCAACATGCAAATAACAGTAATGGAAAACAAAAATAATGAGAAAAAAGTTTAAGAGGCACTTCTTCCTGTTTTTCAGAAATAAATAAGCAAATATTTCACATTGGCCTTTTGTACTAAGTAGGTTAAATTCCAATAGACTGCATTCTCAGTAGACAGTAATGCTTGTTAAGAAGTTCAAGTAAATAGTATGTGTTTAATGTTAAGAAAACACAGTGTTTTGCTGAATGTAAAAGTGCAATTAAAAAGACTGAACTGTTTTCTTAACAATTAAAAAGACCGAATTGTTTTCTTAACAATCCTGTGTTCTCATTCCAAAAATCCCTTTTGGCAAAGGCTTTATATACACTTAGCACAGAGTTCACTCTATGTTCACAAGAAAGTTTTGTACACTAATTCAAAGAACTGCATCTATTTTAGGCCATCTCTACACTAGATCTGGCAGCTCTGCTTAAGATATGCAACTCCAGCTACATAGAATATGTAGCTGAAGTTGGCTTATCTTAAGCCGAGCTTGGTGGTGCTGCCACAGCAGGAGGCCGACAGCAGCATACTCCTCACGAAAGGAGGAGTACTGGACACTGGCAGAGGTTCCCTCTGAGTTTGATTTAGCAAGTCTTAAATAGATTCGCTAAATCAAACTCCGGAAGATTGATCATGGCAGCTGCAATCTTCTTTTTAGTGTAAACCTGTGGAGTCCACAAGTGGCTATTTGGCTGGTTGTTAGCTTGATCAATGTGGCTATTTGGCCAGCTGTGTGGGGCTAGTTCGCTATAGTAGTAGCCATTACAGTGACTAATGCTTCAGAATTGGTTGGACACCATGGCTATGTCTACACTGGCGGGTTCTTGTGCAAGAACACATCCACACTGCCATGTGCTTTTGCGCAAGAGCATCCATAGCAGTGTTGACGCTCTCTTGCGCAAGAAAGAGATGGCCATTTTAGCCACAGGGCTTTCTTGTGCAAGAAATCCCTGCCACACATCCACGCTGCCCTCTTGCGCAAGAGGGCTTACACTTGTTAGAAAAGAGCTTAGCTCTTGCGCAAGAAGCCCTGTCTTCCAATGCCATACTGTAAATCTTCTTGAGCAAGAGCAGGTGAGAAGTGTGGACACTCTGCGGGTTCTTGCACAAGAACCCACCAGTGTAGACATAGCCCATGGGTATGTCTACACTGCAACACTATTCCAAAATAACTTAGTCCATGTCTACACAGCAGGCAGCTATTTCAAAATAGTGTCAAAATACTGTCAAGCTGGAGGACTTCTTACTCTGACTCCTGTAACTCTCATTGTATGAGGAATATGGGAAGTTGGAGGAAGAGTGCTCTATTTTGAAATAAGTGCTGTGTAGACGCTCCCTATTTCAAAATAAGCTATTTTGAAATAAGATACGCAATTGACATAGCTCAATTTGCATAGATTATTTCAAGTTAAGCCCTGCAATGTAGATGCACCCCACTGGTGTAAATAAAGCCTTTGGCACTTACAATAACCTCCACTACCATAGGGTGCGCGTCTACACAGCACCTGAAATTCAAAATAAGATACACAGTTTGCACTACGCAAACTGTGCAGCTTACTTTGAGTCTATTTCAAAATAGCTTATTTTGTCATTTGGCATTGTCTACACAGTGCCAAATTTCAAAATACAGCACTATTTTGAGCCATCTCTTACTCTTTGTACAATGAGGTTTACAGGGATGGCGAAATAGCGCATCCGCTATATTTTGAAATAGTGGATGCGTTCAAAGGACGCGGGATAGCTATTTTGGGATACCTTTGGTATCCCGAAATAACTTTGCTGTGTAGACACACTCAGTGATACCTTAGTATTCTCAATCAATGCATTTAACTTTACAACACCCCTGTAAAACAAGGAAGCACTGTCCCCATTTTATAGATGGAGAACTAAGTTGCAGAGAAACCAATCACAGAGGAAATCTGTAGCAGAGCACTAAAATGAATCTGGATTTCAGGACAGCACCTTAACAACAGGCCCATCCTTCCATATCACACTGGAGGCCTGGTCCTGAAAGTACTAATATACATGTTTTTGTACTCACTTTCATAGTCTCACTGAACTACACATGCGGAAAAAAGAGAAGCACATGCATATATTTTTGCAGGATTAGGATCATGATAAGCAAAGTTCCTACAGCCACTGAGGCAGATTTTTGTAGAATTCTCTCTCTTAGGGTACATCTATATACCTACATTACTTTGCAATAACTAGCGTTATTTATTTAAAAATAATTTAGTCTGCATCTAGACAGCAGGCAGTTATGTTGAAATACTGTCAAGCTGGAGGACTTCTTACTCTGACTCCTGTAACCCTCATTGTACGAGGAGTAACGGAAGTCATAGGAAGAGTGCTCTATTTCGAAATAAGTGCTGTGTGGACGCTCCCAATTTTGAAATAAGCCATACAATCGACGTAGCTCAATTTGCATAGCTTACTTCAAGTTAAGCCCTCCTGTGTAGACACATCCCTAGTTTCTCTCATCTTTTTTTCCTGACACAATATTAAAAACTTATGGCTATAGAAACAAGTGATGCCACAGAAGTTGTATACGCTAAAAAGAATGGATTAAATACCAATTTTATAAGGGCTTTCTTTTATCTATGATATGATACAAATCTCTCACTAGCTTCTGTAACAAGTTGTAATCATCAGCTGATTATCAGTCATCTACATCTTAAATTACACTGAGTGTAAAATCTCCAAGCCCATTGTTTCTTATATATCCTTCCCACAATTTCACTTCATTAACTAATCAGTTTATCAAGAAATCTTTCCTCATGTTGAGCCCCAGGGGAAGTAATTTGCATTACAGAATCATGTAGATTTAATCAATCAGGATATAATACCAATCAGACAAAATGTCCAATTATACACACCATTCCTCCATATAGAAAAAACCTCCTCTAACATATAATGAAAGCTGTTGATGAAGAACAACTTGATATCCCATGCACTGGAAATCACTTTCCAGCAGTTGGAAAGACAAGAAGAAAGTGATGCAGTGCACCATGCTGCAGATTAACATAAGAACAGCCTCATTGGGTCAGACCAAAGGTCCCTCTAGGCCAGTATCCCGTTTTCTGACACTGTCCCAGAGGGAATAAACAGATCAGGTAATCAAGTGTTCCATCCCCTGCCCATTCCTAGCTTCTGGCAAATAGCACCGATGGACCAGCTGATCCTCTAGATCAGCAGTGGGAAACATTTTTTGGGTTGGGGGCCACTGACCCACAGAAAAATCAGTCAGGGGCCAGAGGCTGTGAGGAGACGGCAGGGAGGCTGGAGTGCCAGTGTGGACTCCCCAATGCTAAGCAAGGTCCTAAGCCTTGGGGGGCCGGATCCAGGCAACCCAGGGGCACATTTGGCCCCTGAACCTTAGGTTCCTCATGCCTGCTCTAGATGGGCTTATCTAGTTCTTTCTGAACTCTGTTATAGTCTTGGCCTTCACAATATCCTCTGGCAAAGAGTTCCACATGCTGAGTATGCATTGTGTGAAAAAATACTTCCTTTTGTTTGTAAAACCTGCCCCTTATTCATTTCATTTGGAGACTCCTAGTTCTTGTGTTATGAGACAGAGTAAATAACACTTCCTTATTTACTTTCTCTACAACCAGTCATGATTTTATGTTGTTCTGTCATATTACCTCTTAGTCATATCTTTTTCATGCTGAAAAGTCCCAGTCCTATTAAACTCTCTTCCTATGGAAGCTGTTATATACCCCTGATCATTTTTGTTACTTTTTTCTGATTGTTTTCCAATGCCAGCATACCTTTTCTGGGATGAGATAATCACATCCGCACACAGCATTCAGGATGTGGGCACACTATGGATTTGCATACGATATTTTCTGCTTCTTATCTAGACCTTTCTTAATGATGACCAACATTCTGTTTGCTTTTTTGACTGCTGCTGCACACTGAGGGGATGTTTTCCAAGAACAATCCACAATGATGCTAAGATCTCCTTCTTGAGTTGCAACAGTTAATTTAGATCCCATCATTTTATACGTACAGTCGGGATTATGTTTTCCAGTGTGCATTACTTTGTATTTATCACATTGAATTTCATCTGCTATTTTGTTGCCCAGTTATCTAGTTTTGTGAGCAGGCTGGGTGACCGGGGGGTGGGAGAAGGAAAGGGGCATCTACTCCAGGGCCTGGCATTTCAAAGGCTCCCAAAGCTCCCATCCACCACTGCTGCTACTGCTGCAGTGGCCAAAGCCATGGGCACATTAAATCACTGCCGAAGCACTGCGCCACACGCTCCATGAGGCTCTGAGGGCTGGGGTGGCTGGGTGAAGGAGACTCCATGCTCCAGGTGGCATGTAGGATTGGTTGCCTCGGTCCTACCCCTTTCGCCTAAAGCCCTGCCCCTTGAGGGCGTGTGGAGCTGCCCACCCCACGTTGCCCAAGGGCCCACAGAGGCTTTCGGCTCCCCAGTCTGTAATATATTTTTGGAGCGTTTCACAGTCCACTTGGGACTTAAGTATCTTGAGTAGTTTTGTAGCATTTGCAAATTTTGCCACGTCACTGTTTAGCTCTTTTCTCTAGATCATGTATGTATATGTTGAATAGGACAGGTTCCAGTACAGACATTCGGTTTCCTATCTTGTAACCAGTTATCAATCCATGAGAGGATCTTCCCTCTTATTCTGTGACAGCTTACTTTGCTTAATATTAATAGCCTTTGGTGAGGGATGTTGTGAATGGCTGTCTGAAAATCTAAGTAAACTGTACCCACTGG